CTGCTCTGCCCTCCAACTGTTGCAGTGTATGGTTCCGGCTGAAGCATGTGAAAGAGGTCTAGCCGTCTGCAGGTGTGTGGTTGCAAAAGGTTGGAGCTCACAGGTTCCTGGAATGGCCTCAAGGCCCCAGCAGTCCTCAGACCACACTTTGAGAAACTGTTGCTTAAACTACCTGGCACTTACCCCAGGAGCACACCCCAGGGATGTCATGACAGCTACACCTAGGAGGGGCAGCACAGGGTGATGAGGAAATGACCATGGTATTCCCTGCTTGGGGACAGTAATCATGCCTACTTTGTAAGGTTGTTCAGAGAGAACTAAGCGAGATTATGCATGTAAACATTTAACTTGGGGCTCAGGAGAAGGCATCTCCGAGTAAGGACGGACCTCAGGTGAGCACAGGTATAATAATCCACTGCCTGGGGGGACTGACTTCTCAGTTCCTATCCCCGGGGTCCTCCCTCCACCACAGGCATCATCTCAACAAGCATTCACCCCTGGAGGCCACGATATACCACGCTGAGTCCCACGGAAAGGCAAACAGGAGCGCTGCTCAGCAGAGGGGCAGATGAAACAAAGTGGCCAGACTTGGGTGCTGGGTTTCCCTGGCTAGGATGAGAGGCAGAAGCTAAGAGGCTGGGACAGCCAGGGTCAGGACCAGTCTCCGGGTAGCTGATGGGCCCTCACAGGGGCAGAACAGCGGCCCTTTCTCAGGACTGGCCATGCAGTAAGTGAGATTCAGTCCAGGGTGCAGAAGGTCACATCAAAGCATCTGGTATCCACATCTGGTGAGCAGATTTTGAGACTGGGGACAGTAAGCTGAAAACAGGATGGCATCGAGGAATCAGAGCAGGACAAGAGAAAGAGGAGGGGCCCTTAGTGATGTGGGAGAGGAGCGAGTGTTTTCAGGCCAGAGTCACACTTCCAGCTTACAGACATCTGGATGCATGTGCACACACGGTGGGGAGGTGCAGGCTGGGCAGACGCTGAGTGTCAGTCCTGGCAGAGGGGAAAGCGTGCTGTGACAGGCTGGCCTCACAGCCCAGCTTTCAGACCAGTCCCCCGTTTCAGAAGACTCTTAAAGGTTAGAGACGGTGTCCCCAGCACCTGGCCCAGCACATGGCATATACAGCTGCTCTCTAACTAGGAATGAATGAGCCTACGTCCTTGTCCCTGGAAGGGACAATGCCCAGAACTGCCAATGCCTCGGCATCGTATTATACATCTCCCCGACTGCCCCTTGCTTCCAGGGGTGGCACAAAAAGCCTTCCACTGACAGTGTATTTGGATTTGTGGCTCGGGTGGTGGAGGGAGCTCTGCTCTGGAGACCAGTAGACGCTGGTTCTAGCTCCAGCTCTGCAGGTGGTCACTGTGTCATTTGGGGCTTGTCAGGTCCCTCCTGGAGACAGAACTCCCCCTTGAGAAGAAGGTGTGCTGAGTGAAGGGTCCAGAGAGCTGACAACTCTGGACCGAATTCAGGAATACAGATCCTGACCTCGTGGGACCAGGAAAGCAAGTTGCCAGCCGACAGCCAGGGCACCTGGGGACTTGGGGCTGTGGCCACACCTAATGATGTGTCCCCTCTGGGCCCCCACAACTCCTTTGTAGACCCCCTCAGCCCCTCTTGTGCCTCCGGTCTGATGCAGGTTATAGCCTTCACTCTGGGTTTAAGGCAGGTGCTAACGGTAGCTGAGGCCTGTGAACCTGGGTCTGGGCTGTGAGCGGATGAGCTGGATGTGAAAGAAAGATGCCGTTTTAGGTCCCGGTCTCAAGCTCCGTTTTTCAAATGTGGAATTTTGGAGGCAAAGGGGAAAGGAGTGGATGGTTACTGAGCACCGATAAAATGCCAAGCCTCTGGTGGACATGTTACCACACGCCCGACTTTCTCTCCATATGGTAGGTATCACGTCTCCAGAAAATGGGAAGAAAAGCTCATTATTTTAGCCAGATCCTCTTCCCTCTCCTCCCCTCTCCTTCCCTCCCGCTACCCTCCACTGCCCTTTCGTCCCTCCCTCTGGGTCTCTATAAGGTACGTGAGGCCTTGGCCACTCTGCTCCTCCGGGGATGTGCACAGCCTTCTTAAGAAGCTCTGGCCTCATTCTTTCTCCCTTTGGGACTCTGCACTTCTGCCCTCAGCATTCAGAGTGGCAGGTTCCTATTGCCCTCCCCTGTGCCAATAAAAGCAGCCCCTAATCCTGCTTCCTGCCTGCCCCCTCCAGCCTCCAAAGC